ATTCTGTGGGCAACTAACTCTTCACCTTCTGTTGGTCTTAATTTCTGCCAACAGTTGTTTACCATATTTCCACCTTTCTTTGTTCTTCTTCTTATTTTCTGTTTTCTTCTCTCTAACCCCCTCTATTGTCTTTTCACCCAGTCTACAGTTGGCCATGGTTGATGTGTTGGACACCCTTCTACAAGTCCCTCTCAACCTGTCCTCTCTTTGGGTTCTGTACTTTATTCATCTTTTTCATGTCTTCCATTCCTTTCTCCTCTCTTCTACTCAACGTTGGCTCTTCTTGTGTTCCTTAGCATTGTGAGGACCTTTTGCTTGCCATATTCATGACTTGGGGATTACATTCTTTTTCTTGGACTTTTCAATCTGTTAGCCCATTATCAACTTCCACTTCTCCTAACCTCCCTTCCTTTCCTATGGGTACTCGGTTGTGGAGGGGGACTTTTCCTGGGATCTTCATCCTTTCTCACACCCACTTAAATTAATGTTTAGTACTTTTGGACATTTTCTTCTTCTCTTGTCTCAACTGAGTTCAGCCTCTGTTATTTACCATTGTAATATGGAATATCTGGCCACCTGGTTTTACACTTCTCATTCTCTTCCTGCACAAAGGTTCTTTTGATTTTAGGGGACTCTCGCTTCCCTAGAACCCCTGATTCCTTTAGGGCATGCACTTGTTAATTTTCATTCTTGGGATCCATTATCCTCTTTTGTGAGCATCTCTTCAAGAAATTGTCCTGGTGGCTAAACATTGCCCAGACTGTTTTTGCATTTCTTTACCACCTTTCAAATTGGATGCTTCCTTCTTTGATACTTCCCTTTCTGTTGAGGAAAGATCTTTAACATTTAGACCTTGGTCATGCATTCACTCCATATCACTCCATTTCTGCCCTTACTAGTGGGTCATTCAGTTATGTTTTATCCAGTCTCTTTCACAGTCATTTCTTATTCTCACCAACCATGAGGCTTCTGTTTCAGGTCCTTTGCTTTTGGGAGTTAGACACACACACCTTTGGTCCAATTCGCATCAGGTTGATGCCTATATCCATGCCTATCATTTGCTGATAGTTGTTATTTTGGTGGCAGACTGCCTCTCTTGGCCAGTCCATATTTGATCAACAGATCAACATATTTGATCTCTAGACCCACAAATCTTTTGTGGAGTTTTCTTTTGGTTGTATGTGCCCTTCTTGGATGCAGTTTCCACCCTTCACAACCCCGGGCTTCCTCCCATATGGTCCACTATTCATTATCCTTCAGTTATTTCAGTCAATTTTATTTTGGGTCTGTCGACTTCTCCTGTTGGCATGTTCATCTCGAGTTTTGGATGCTTGCAGACTATTCAACATTTCTTTGCATTTGAATTGTCATATTTTCATTCTATTATATCTCTTATATCTTCACTAGTCCTAGGATGAGCTCCTCTAGGTGGGCATGTGGACTCTTTCCACACATTCATCTCTTCTCTACATCTTCAGTCTGTTTTATCTCCTAATGGTTTCCAGCTTCCACAGATTGTTTGTTTGTTTGAATTTCGTGCAAAGCTACACGAGGGCTATCTGTGCTAGCTGTCCCTAATTTAGCAGTGTAAGACTAGAGGGAAGGCAGCTAGTCATCACCACCCACCGCCAACTCTTGGGCTACTCTTTTACCAACGAATAGTGGGATTGACCATCACATTATAACGCCCCCACGGCTGAAAGGGCGAGCATGTTTGGTGGGATGCGGATTCGAACCCGCGACCCTCAGATTGTGAGTCGAGCGCCTTATCCACCTGGTCATGCCGGGCCTCACAATTAAACGAAACACACTGTATATACTTACTGTTTACTCACACAGGATGATCATTTTTACTTGCTCTTCAAATCCCACCAATTGAGCTGAAAATTGTTTAAATGTGATGTTCCTTAGTTCTTAAAAAAAACCTTGAATTTACCCAGAGTGAAATGTAGCTCACGTGACTAACCATTTTCATGACAACATAGATGTGGTCATAACATCTAGACATTACCTGAACAACTATTGAAGGGCACTGCTGTTATGTGAATTCTGTACATATTGTTGCAAGATATTGTTACGTCTCAGTTCCTTTGTTAATTTTTCGTAGAAATTCTTTCCAAGAAACTTCAGCGATACAAGTCTTTTCTTAAATAAAACTAGTTTATTTTTTCTCAATTCAACTTTGCAATACACTTAATTTCCACAGTCACTTTCACTTAAACACACGCTATAATTCACAACAAACGATCCCCCCCTTTCTTACTACCGCGCTTGACTCAGTTGTTTGTCTCTATATCTCTCTGTCTGCAATTATATTGCCGTCACTTTATTTGCCGGCTTATATACTATAAAAGCGCGAGTCTAGCAAACGCTAGGCCATTCGACAGGTTCCTCGATCTTTCTAGATACTCATTACGTGTTACCAGCGACACGTGACTTCCACTGTCGTAACACTGCCCTTTCCTTAGTATTGTTTATCCCGAACATTACATTAAACCAATAGATAATTAACAATAACTTAATTAAATGTTGCTTCTTTTCTTTTTCCTCTAACAACTATGGTAATCTCTCTTGTTTATTTTGCTGTTCGAGCTGCCATTGTTGCAGGTTTTCTTGCCACTGCTGTAATCTCTCTTCTTGTTTCTTTTCTTGTTCTTCTTGTTTCTGTTTTTTCCTCCAACAACTGTTGTAATCTCACTTCTTGTTTCTTTTCTTTTTCCTCCAAAAACTGTTGTAATCTCTCTTCTTGTTTCTTTTCTTTTTCCTCCAACAACTGCTGTTGTTTCTCTTCTTGTTTCTTTTTTCGTTCTTCTTGTTTCTTTTCTTTTTCCTCCAACAACTGCTGTAATCTCTCTTGTTTATTTTGCTGTTCGAGCTGCCCCTGTTGCAGGTTTTCTTGCCACTGCTGTAATCTCTCTTCTTGTTTATTTTCTCGTTCTTTTGGTTTCTTTTGCTGTTGTTGTATTGCTGCCATCAAATCTGCAAAGTCGTAGGTCTTTTCCGTCCCACTCTCTGACACCAATTTGTTATGTCTCAATTTGTTTGTTAATTTTTCGTAGAAATTCTTTCCGAGAAACTTTAACAATACAAGTCTTTTCTTAAATAAAACTAGTTTATTCTTTCTCAATTCAACTTTGCAATACACTTAATTTCCACAGTCCCTTTAACTTAAATACACGCTATAATTCACAACAAACGCACTTTACTTCTACCGCACTTGACTTAATTGTCCGTCTCTATATCTCTCTGTCAGCAATTATATTGCCGTCACTTTATTTGCCGGCTAATATACTATAAAAGCGCGAGTCTAGCAAACGCTAGGCCGTTCGACAGGTTCCTCGATCTTTCTAGATACTCATTACGTGTTACCACCGTCACGTGACTTCCGCTGTATTAACAATATCATTGTACAAAGTCTCACCTTGGTTGGTCAAAACATAGAGGAATATTAGACCTAAAACCCTAATTTTGTAAATAAAAATTAGACTCTTGACCTCTATAAAATTACAAGAAAGGCACAAATCTCACATCTTTCTGCTTCAGTCTGTTAGAGTTATCAAAAGGTATTTTATTTTTATTTTTTTTGCAAAGACTCTTCTGGATTGGTCGAAAGACCATAATATGTGTCTTTATAAGGCTTGACCTTTGACTTCCTACAATCAGAATGAGATGTAAGCTGAAAAATAAAAAAAGGTGTCTTGGCATATTGGTACAAAATATATGCTGAGCAAATTTTAAGAAGAATGGCTTAGAAATAATAGAGTGATGCACAGTTGTAATTGTTGTAAAGAAGAAAGAGTTTTATTTGGTGAAAAATGTGATTCCAAAGAAAAAAAATGGTTGTCCACTTTCTGGCCAGTGAGATCTCCCAGTGTTGTACCTTTATGGTTATACCATTTTTTAATGTCATCTTTGTGTTTTCTTTGTATGTTTATTTGCTAATAATGAATCCAGTAGAAATAAATTATCTGTGGTGGAATAATTCCAACCTATAAGTTTACCTTTGTGACCTTTAAACTTTACACTCAAAATTAATTTAAAAGTTTAACTTTTTTACATTTATATTTGGTACATTACAAAAAAATATTTTCCAATTTCTATTTTATTCTCAGGTTTATATTCCAAGTCATGTTGGAATAGTCTTTGCACCATCTGATTGATGAAACTGGCACTTTGACCATTCAGTCTTCAACATGCCCTGTAGAATAAATACTTCCAGTAGTTGTGCACCAGTATTCAAATTGAATGCATTTAACATACTATTGTAATTGTTTGGAAAAGAAAATGTCCAGTTTTTAGAATATATTTTTGTTTTAACGCTCATTAATATAGAATATGAACTGAATATTATTTGAAACAAATATATTGCATGTGATACTAATATATTTAATAAGGGTTCTAGAATGGAAGTTTTTGCTAGATATTTTTATGTATTACATATTGTTTTCAGTGTGCTCCAGATTTCAAAGTTTTTAAGCTTCTGTTAAATTCACTCATAAATATTGTTTCATTGTTAAATAATTTTAACTAATATCTTATGAGTTTTAAAATGAATTGTTTGTTCTTCCAGATACATGTAGCCAACAGTATGTGTATACTAACAAAGAAAGTTGTTGTACCTAAACTTCTGTTTAGGGAAAAGAAACAAAATAATATGTTTTAGATTAGCTAACAAATATGAACGAGCTTTGATTGTGAAAGAAAACATGTTCTTCTTTTGAAATAAAATGTTTTAGAATAATGTGAACAACTAAAAACTTTGTGGTATCTTATTGAAAACCAAAAACAGTATGTAATAAATTCATTGGTTTTTGCAAAATATCTTATAGGTAATTCATATTCTATTTTTTTATAAACCTTACAAGTGATAAATTGCCAGTTATATAAAAACTTCTTTTTTTTTCACCCATTATTGAAATATTTTCATTAGAAAAGAGTATTTTATTTGAATATGAATTCTGGTGTAGGTTATAGCACTTGTTAGAAAAACGAAATATAAATAAATAAATACATACTGTGTAACTTTTTGACATGCATCTTTGCAACTATTTTCAAACTACACGGTGATTTTAATAGAAAATCTTTATTTAAAATTATTCTGTCTTAAAAACTATTGTCCCCTAGTAGATCAGTGGTAAGTTTACATATTTATATGGGCATCTGCAAGGGAGGCACTTGCCCCTTCCCCTGGATTACCTAACCAAAATTTAAAGGATAACATAAAATAATAAAAAAGTGTTTCCCTAGTTATAGCTTCGATATCATTTTCTCATTTTGCACTCTGTATATATCCTGCAGATTTACAGCACCAAAATGTCCAGGGTTTGATTCCCCATGGTAGGCAGAACACAGATAGCCTATTGTGTAGTTTTGTGTTAAAACAACAGCAACATTAGAATAAAAACTAAAGCCCTAAGAGAACAAAATTTCATCGAGTGCATTTATTGCAAATCACAAACATTTATTAAGAAAAGCTTGGACATGGCACAGCATCTTTCACAGCCATATACTTATTTAACTTTCCTCTCAAACTGGAATTGCTTTTATTTCTCTTAACACAAGATTAGTGATTTGAATAAATTGTGTGCAATATATTATGAGGATCTATGGACATTGCTAAGAACAAATGATGCTTGCAGTAGCTTCATTCAGGAATATGCTTAACAGGCTCATTAGAATTGACAGAAAGCATACTGTTTACTTCTCTGACATTTTTTGAATCACCCTGTACTATGTCCAAATTTTCTTGAATATAATTTTTATCCTCAATTTGCCTGTGATGAAATTTAGTTTCCCTCGGTCAAGTAATTTTTAAAATATACATGTCATAATTATTAATATGAGTTTTCTTTATAATTACTTCGTACATAATATTGTTTTTCATTATCACCTGATGTTGCTTATTTTATCTTGAAAATTGAACAGTCAGTTAAGAGTCTCTAACATTAGTAGAAAACATTGAAACATCGGAATATTCTCAATTATTTAAAATTGTATCAAATAGTTTCCAATTTAAAACATGATTTTCTAAGAATATTTCTAGTTATAATAAAAGCAGTTTTCAAAGTTTAAGATTTAATTTCCCAAGCCTTGTTTTACTCTGTCATAAATCCACGCACTTCTGGTTTATCTATCTCCTGTCATTTTTCATCCAAAATGTCCAGATGTGGTGTTTGCTGTAAAATAAAAACAGAACAAAAACGATAGCTAAGAGAACCCTTGCTTAGAAAAGAAGTATTCCGAACATTTGAAAGTTGAAAGAAACATATCCTTAAGAATTTTGTTTCTATTTTATTTACAAGATTTAGTTTAAAAAGTAATGTTATAGTTTACAACTTGTGTGTTGCCACTTCATATTGAAGTTAAGTTAAATTTGAGATTTAAGCTGTCTTTTGCTGTCACATAGTTTTACTGACAAATATATGGTTATAGACACAAGTATAGAAATTAATTTAAAAGTCCAAAACACACTAGATGAGTAAAACTATTAAAATAAACTAAAATTAAAAATATGAAAATTTTTAAAAAGTTGTAAGATAAAAAAAAAAACAGACAGCACCAACCAGGCCTAATTTAGTAAGTTACAGTCCATAATGATGTGATTGGTAGTCATTTGATACTATTAAAGGAAAATTTAATGCACTGTCTCTACATAATGAACAAGAAAGTATTGCATAATTCTATGCCACACGTGTAGACTATACCACAAGAACGAAAGATTCGCTGAAATTTGTTTAACGCATTTCTATTTAAATTCATCTCGAGCATGAAACTGAACCAAACGTTTCACAAATGTAAACCTTTTTTTTTCTTTTCAAAATCACTGAAAATGTCACATAGGCTCTATGGACAATATTAACATACGTTTGTCACTTCTGCATTACTTATAACTTGGTTTGTTTGTTTGTTTTGAATTTATGCACAAAGCTACACAATGGGCTATCTGTGCTCTGCCCACCACGGTTTTTAGCATTGTAAGTCAGCAGACATATCGCTATGCCACTGGGGGCTATTTATAAGTTAGCTATTCTGTAGTAATTGGAGCACAACAGACGTCAACACAAAGCAAATATGATACGGAACTAACTTTGCTTAGAACTATAATTCTAGCATTCTGTAGTATTTACCAGCATTTCAGGTCATCGAGCAACTCCCATTAGCAGAAAAGTAAAATAGGGCTTTCCAGCATTTCTACGTCCATAGGTATAACTAATTTAATATGTCACAAAACTTATCAGGGTCAACTCAACGAATTATTCGTTAAGTTGGCCAGCTGTGAAAAAAAAAGCCATTCAAACCTGTATAAACGTGTCTTCACCTCCACCAGTGTGTGCTCAACGATAGGCTTGAACACTTATAACGCCAAAAATCTGAGTTCGAAACAAACGAACGTGTGTGTGACAGTATTAGCATAGCTGAAGATTCGGCACATCTTTTTCGTGTAGAAATTGTATTCAACACCCAGTCTGAGAGTCAAGAAGATATATTTTGGTAGGTTGATTTCCAAACTAAGCTTTCTTGTACTCTATTTTCTTAATTCTGAATAGAGATTTGAATTCTGTATAATGTCTGGAATCTGAATTGCCCACCAGCTTGGCTGTATTCGTACTACTTTCCAATCTACGATGGATTAAACCCATACCCCAATCTAAAACCGCAATAAACTACACGGTAATGGCTGTACACGTTGGGCAATACAAGATATGGTTACTCAGCTCTATAGAGCTGCTTTCTCCGCGGTTTGCGCAAATTTTATCTATAGATGTGGACGAAAAAACTCATTGAAGCTTGCTTACCGCTGTAAGGTGGCTAAATGTGGTACCTGCCTAAATATGAACACTTCTACTGTTTTGTACAAGAAGAACTCGGTCCAGCTAACCCTTTAAACTTCGCATCTTCGTGCCCGAAGATATTGAGAGGTAAGTTCTTTTTGCTTTTGTTAACATATTGAGCAAGTTAACAGATTATAATATCTGCATATTAGATCAAAAACAATATACTGAAATATATCTCCTACAAATTATTCTCCTTGGTCTATAATTCGATTCACATAGTAGGGCTCACTTATGTTGCATTCACTGGACTTTAACTTATTCAAAATCATTTAGTACTCGATCACACTCCTGCCACAGTGATACACAGAATTTAGTTGCTTAACCCGTAAATCTTGTTTGATAATTATAATAGAAAGAAAAGTAATAATTTGTTTGACAGAAGTCCTGAATGTAATGAATATGACATTGAAGAATGTAATTTACTTGTTGCTGTTAATATTAAATTTAACTGCTCAGCATGGCCAGGTGGTTAGGGCGCTCGACTCGCAATCTAAGGGTCGCGAGTTCGAATTCCCGTCAAACCAAACATGCTCACTCTTTCAGCCGTGGGTACGTTATAATGTTACGGGCAATCCCACTATTCGTTGGTAAAAGAGCTGCCTAAGAGTTGGCGGTGGGTGGTGATGACTAGCTGCCTTCCTTCTACTGCTAAATTAGGGACGGCTAGCGCAGATAGCCCTCGTGTAGCTTTGCGCGAAATTCAAGCCAATCTAAATTCAACTTGAAGAACAAAAGGCATAAGCAAAAATTGGAAAACATATTCTCAAACTACAAATGGTTGAATAAGTTATATTAAAAAAAGTGTAAATATGTAAATCAGTAGGTTACGTGACAATCAAACCTGACATAAAATCGCGGTGGAACGGATGTATTAGAAATACATTTTCATATATGGCGTAACGTAGGTGATTTGGTGCGACTGAAAATTGATTGCTTGTGGGTAGGGTATGTAACAGCCCTTTCCAATGTAAAATATTCATACACTGAGATCATAAAGATGTGATCAGATCGAGGATTTAGAATTTCCAAGATGGAGATATACCGTGTATTTAATGACATTGGAAAATAATGGAATATGGATGAACTAGAGAGCTGCAACTGGTATACTCCAGCCGTGGTAAGCAAAGTGCTGCATTTTGTAACAGGTGAGAATCCATGAAAGTAAAGATCATTGGAAAATGATTTCCGCGTATCCGAGGCAACATAACTAAGAAGTTTCGCAGTATGAAGAAGTGACACAAGTCAGGTGTGCACAAGTTACTTTTTCGACATATCCATTCAACTGTCTCAAGACATACTGGTTAATTCGTCTATGGATTTCTGTTCCACCGAACTGTTCAAAGGGGCGCTGTAAAACTGTCATTCTTGTACACCAGATGGATTGTTGTAAACCTACAAGAAAGAGTGTACTTTGGAAATGGCAACGGTGAAGCCTATTGCAATAGAATCTACGCTGTGAGAATACTGTCGAGATGTATGATCTTCAAAAAGAACATGACCGGACGTGACAACATGGACTGTATCAACGTGGTATGATTTAAAATCGTTTTAATATAACGTACGCAACCCCTGTAGCATCAAATAATTTAAGGCAAACTTAGCAATAAACTTCATTCGAAAAAAACGGACATGAAATATTTAAATATGATTGTAACATCATTCTACGCAAACAGAACTTTTAACAGAAAACAGAAATTAAAGACTAAGAAAACTGAATTGTAAAACTGGGTTTATTCTAAGTTGTGTAAACAGACGTAAAAGGTCTATTGTATAAAAGTAGTTAATGTCTTGAATGGATTAGATTCTCGTACACGAAACTTTGAAGTATGGTTGCAATAGATGACGTGCACTGGTCATGAAAAGCGAAATGAAAACTGTTGTTAAACTCAAAGCCACACAAGGGGCTACCTGTGCGCTGCCCACTGCGGGTATCGAAACCCGATGTTCAGCATTATAAGTCCTCAGGTTTACTGCTAAGCCTCTATGAGCCAAATGAAAATACAGAGTTAAATTATGATATTTGAAATGAAGTTTCTTAAACAATTTTGAATTATTGTGAACCAAATTTGGTTATGATTATATATGTGTGTGTGTTGTTTCTGTCTAATCAAATAAAAATGCACTATTTCCACTAGCTGAAGCGATGAATTCAGCTGTTTAACCCTGTTGAAGTGGTACAGACGTATTATGTTCAAAATCTTGCAGCTGTTGAGAAATTTCTATATGTTTGAAATAAGTCTAAAAATCGAAAGCAGTCCAAACAATATTAAAGACAACAGAAGCATAATATAATGCCCATGGTTCTTACCTTGGTCGGAAGGTGCCTCTACTGGTGTATTGTAGCTAAAGACAACACCTTTGTTAGGTTCTTCTAAAAGAAGCTGTTAAAAATTCGCATAAATGAAATAATTTATTTCATAGGATAATTTAGACATTTTTTATACTGCTACATTGTATCTGTAATTTGTTGAATATTAATAACCACAAGAAATCGTAACAAATCAACAGATCTAAAATAATGGTTCAATATTATTGATATTGGAATGTCATGGCAATTGGTGATGTTGTATCTTTAGAAAATAATGCCGATTTCATTCTGATGAAAATAGTGTTTCGATGTTTAAACATAAAAAATATTATTACTCAGAAAAATTTGATTTTGAATATTTTAGAGAAGCAAATGGAAACGAAAATATAATATTATACGGGCATTCAAAAAGAACATATTTTAATATGCATTTTACTGTAAAAATTTAGTGCTACTATTTGATCGAAAGACACTTCAAAAATTCAGCATATAATAAAATAAAAGACTGATTATACCGCTCTCATTATTTGATTTAGAACAGGTCATTTTATATTCAGAACCATAGTTTGATTTACAACTTAAAAAATCATGAAACAGAATGTTCAACCCTACCTTTATTTCTGAAAATTTGAATCAAATGAATATTTGTGTAAATTGGCCACTTTTGAAATAAAAATATATTACATAGATTCATCATTAATGTGCTATTCGAATTCTAAAGTAACATAAGAAGAAAACAGCACTCAAAATTGACCTCAAAGTAGATCAATATCAGAGCATGCGATATCTGTTTCTCACACTTCACCAGTAACAGAAGTACATCAAGAACCTGATCCATACTCGCCAAGACTATAGGTTCTTCTGAAAAAAGACCAAGAGCACGGAGAAATTCAAGGCATGCGAACTACGGCAGTATCTGTCCCTTAAACATAACCAATGACAAAGGTACATCAAGTACTCACCATGACTCTGAGTTCCTTTGGCAGAAGACTAATTGCACAGAAAGATTCAGAGCATCTGAATTGTATTAATACCTATCCTTTACACCTAACAATGACAAAGGTACATCAAGAAACTGATCCATACTCACTATGACTGGAAGTTCGTCTGACAAAGGATCAGAAGCATGGAGAGATTTAGAGCATTCGAATTGTGGCAATATCTGTCTTTTACACCTAACAGTGACAAAGGTATGTCAAAAAACTGAGCCATACTTACCACGACTATAAGCTCCTCTGACAGGGGACCAAGAGCACGAAGAGATTCACGGTGTGACGTCGTTCGCATATAATGAAATCTAGTTCCAAGGATGACATATGTCATTGGCCAGCTTACTTCCATTTTGCCATTCAAATGATAAGAATCATCGGTTGTTTTGAGAGCTATGATAATGATATAATTATACCACATTGCACATAACAAAAAAATGTACGATAAAAATTGTCTACATCCAAATACAACACAGTGTCTGACGGATAAAACATATGAAATAATATTTTCAAGTGAACAACGTAATAGAGAAATTCTTTAACTTCTTTATTTGTTAGTTAGCACATTTTACAAGATACAATTTCTGGCAGCGGAATAAGTCTTGACGAGCTTTCGATAGGTTTGATTTGGTTTGAATTTCGCGCAAAGCTGCACAATAGCTATCTACGCTAGTCGTCCCTAATTTAGCAGTGATAGATTAGAGGAAAGGAAGCTAGTAAACACCACCCACCGTCAACTCTTGGGCTACTCTTTTAGCAACTGATTTTGGGATCGACTGTCTCATTATAATGCCCCAGGTTGAAAGCGCAAGAATGTTTGGTGACGGTGATTCGAACCTGCGACCCTCAGATTACTAGTCGAACACCCTAACCACCAGACCTTGACGATCTTTCGAACAAATCACGGACCGTTTTCATGTCTCAGAAGGCACTTTAAAGGTTGAGAATCAGAGAAGTCTCTATGAGCTAGAGTTTGAGTTTCAGAGGAAGATACTATTCTCCATTGTTGAGCGCTGGATCGCTAAGAATGGCGATTGTTTCCGGTCACATAACATTAGAAAGAAAACACTTCACAGCAAATATTCACAGATTTAACTTAATTGTATTTTTAAAATCCAAGCAGACTAAGAAATTTATTTTCACTTAAGAACAAAACTAACTTTATGCGCATGTACTTTGGAGCATATCTCTACACATGCTCAAGTTGCAAATTTGAGTACGTTGTTTCCACGGCCAGGAGGCTTCAGCAGAGATACAAAGAACGTCGGAGGTTAAAACTCTGTATTCCACTAATATCGAAAATAACACGTTGGAACGCAGTGATATTCAGCCATTCAAACTGCAGTTCACAATTATTTCACAAGACAGCAATGAAAGTGGCCTACGCACACTAGAAACCATCGTTATTCGACTTCGCTAAACAACATTTTACAATAGTATTTTAAACTCGCTTTCGGTAAATAACCCATTTATGTCCTCCAAAGTATGAATAATAATGCTGAAGGGTTACATAAATATTACAGATTAACTTTCTACACCAAATGTATTATAACTTACTTAAGAAATTAAAATAATAAAATGTAATTCTTAGTATTATTAGATGTCTGCCTTTTTACATTTCGTAAGAAACAACAAAGTTTTCTTCTCTCTGACCGCATTTACTTTGAGTACACCGTTTAGCACAGTCATAAAGGCAGAAATAAATGTTGGACATCCTTTTTCCTCGGTTATCGATAAAATGTTCCCTGGTAGGACAGCGGTATGTTTAAGGACATATAACACTAAAAACTGAGGTTCGATTTCCCCAGTGGACACAACAGATAGCTCAATGTGACTTTGCTTTTAAAATGGAAAACAAGTCGATAAGATAATTCATGTATTTTGCAGCACAAAAATGTATACAAAATGCTGTTGCGCTGGAAAGAAAAACAATGATAGAATCTGTGCTACATAGAAGCTACTAAAATGAGCGAAAGTACCAACTAAATTAACATCTCCATTTCAGAAGTACAGTAGGTTAAACATTTGCTCCATTCAATTAAATAATTTTGATAATTTTATTCAAGTACGACTATGAGGTTAGCGTGACAGAATGCGGATCGTAATGGTCAAGCTGTAATATGTCACTGAATAGATTTTGCACTTTCAACTATAGTTATGACAGTTAATTAATCTACTATTTAATAAATATTAAGTGGTGAGTGCTGCTAATTAGTTGCCCTCTCTGCATATAACCAGTAGCTCTAAACTAGGGATAGCTATACCTGAGCCTAAGGGGTTTTTGACTTCGGTCATGTGTTGCATAAGGTGCTGTTCAGGTTAAAAATATCATAATACAATATTAAACGGCTAGCACTAAAAGTTATTACACTACTAAATTATCAATTAAGAAAAAAACTATTCTTTTTAATCTTGTTTGTTTGTAATTAAGCACAAAGCTACACAATGGGTTATCTGTGCTCTGCCCACTACGGGTATCGAAACCCGAATTCTAGCATTGTAAGTCCGCAGTCTTTTTAAGCTATCCCACTGGCTTTTCCACACCATGAAATATTTTAACACTTTGGCAATTTGTCCTTTGTAAACTTCGTTAAACCTCGTTTCTAATAAGCTAAACTGGCAAATATCCTATAAGCATGATAATTTTAGTGGCGTTAATGAAAATATTTTTTTGGGTCGACACAGAATTAAATATTATGTGAAGCTTGTATTTTTTTATTTATGATAGGATGTTTTTGAGAAACAAATAGCCCGAGCTATTGATTAAATATATCATAAAGTCTGTTATTTGCATAAGTAAGCTATAAACATTTGCAGCGTCATCCACGAAGTGAACAGTAACAAACATGTCACTCGAGTCTATTTTACAGAGAGAAGTAACGATATGTAATATTCTGAAGTAAGGTGGCTTGTTTGATTATTAAGAGGTATATTACTTGTTTCATATATATTTTAATCTAACTGAAAAATGACTGAATTAGTGCCAGAAGTTTCTTCAATTGTTGAATTACAATTTTAGAAGAATAGTTGTTTATAATAGTTTAAGTATAACATTGTGAAATGGTCATGGTTGCCAGTAACGTTCAGAATCTTATTTATACTTTATGATTAACCCTTCCCTGCCACGAGAACATTCGCCTCACATTTTTATAGAATTTTCCACAAGGAAGGTCCAGTGTTTTATGCGGTTTTCTCAATATAGTTATTTTATCGACAGTAAACCATGTCACATTCCCTAACCACTACTGAAGTCATTCTTTTTCTCTTTGTTAGCATCTGAGGTGAGCGGTTCTTAGACTGATGGAGTTTTGTAATGTCCATCAGTTGGAAATAGTTAAATCTTAATCACTGTGGAATGAATTAATTAACTAGAACACAGACTGACTTCTATTGCATTTAATAATCCTGTTAATTTTTTTTTCGTCAATCACCGACAGTTCGCAGTATTATTTTCCTAATGGCAAACACGGCCCGGCATGGCCTGGTGGATAAGGCGCTCGACTCGCAATCTGAGGGTCGCGGGTTCGAATCCCAGTCCCACCCACCAAACATGCTCGTCCTTTCCAAGAGGGAAGGCTGTCAAATGGGTTGCATCCTTGACGTAAGAAACAGCTTTAGAAATGCTGGCAGAGCAAGATCTGCCATCGGCTCGACGGTCCGCAAGGACTATGGGAAAAAAAATGGCAAACACATTCCTTTTCGATTGTTACTATAAGATGAATTTTAATTATGTTAACAAGAAATCGCCAAGCTAACACCAATTTTATTATGACAGGACTAAAAAGGAATAGAATGGTCCACCAACAATGAGACTGCTGCATATAAATTGACCCCTGGTGGGTCAGCTGCAAGTCTACGGACTTAAAGCGCAAGAATCTGAGACTTGATTCTTACCCGAAAATGCAGATAAAATAACGTATAGCTTTGCACTAAGAAAACAACAACATATATCGTATCTTACCGATTAAGTTGGTGGATTCTTCTTTCTCCCTAATGCGGATGTTCACAGCTCCTTTAGGAAGTCGAATAATTTCTACGTATTCTAAATTGGGGAAAATGAAAAAAATAACTGAATCATGCATGCAGAATTGAACATTTTGAAATTTTTGCAAAAAGATTAAAACAGTTGATTCCAAATGAGGGCAATGATTATAGAAATAAAGTCATTTTATTATTATAGTGGTATTCAAAGTCAGTATTGGAAAGGTTAATGTTTTGTACTAATTACCATATGATCAAATATCATATTAGAAGCAAACCTTTTTGTTTGTCTTCAAATGGATCGTCCACGAATCCTAAAACTGTCTTACAAGTTGTACCGTCACCTTCACAAACGCGACATTTGTCTTCTATAGCTATGGATCCTAAAATACCGTCACAGCCTACATGCTGGAAACAGATTGAATTTTTAAAAGCAGTAAATTAGTACTGTAACAAAGACAACTGGACATTCAATGAACAATTGAATTCATTTTGTTTTGTTATTACTAGAATAAAGTAATGTTAATTCATCTTCATGTCCAAGCAAAGTTTTAACAACTAAAAACAAAATATTTTGATGGAAAATTATATTTCTATTGCGAGTTAATTTGTTTCCGCTCACGGAAAATAACGTATGCATATACTTAAACCCATTATTAAGGGTTTGAAAAGTTGTGGTTGGTTGGTTTGTAGCCAAGCACAAAGTTACACGAGGAGCTATCCGTGCTCTGCCCACCACAGGTATCGAAATCCGTGTCTAGCGTTGTAAGTCAGCAGACATACCGTTGTGCCACTGGGAGGCAGGTTTGAAAAGAGAACTTACACATCAATAAAATTTACTATCTGCTATCTATGATCGGTCGTGAAATGTAACGTAATATACAGATCAGATTGATTATTACCTCCGCCACCGAAGGTGGACAGAGGATATATTTTCACCCCTGTGTGTATGTGTGTGTGTGTTTGTCAGCAAGATTTATCGAAAACTGCTGAATAGATTTATTTGGACTAAAGTTGGTATACATTTGAACTATGATCAAACTCAAAAGTGATTAGTGTTTGGAAGGTAAAGGTCAAGTTCACAGCAAGATCACAGAAATAAAAAAGTCACTATCTCTTACCATGGGGCCTGATTTTTCACACTATTTTTGCTCTATGACTCAGTCAAAAATGATCGGATTGTGATCAAAGTTAGTGGACATATGTAGAATATTATTCCTCATTGTCCTGCCGAAAATGTTCAGTGTCTGTTAATAACTACGGACATACGGACACGTTTTCGTATTTTTTGAGAACCGAATATGATCAACGCTGCGCGGCTGGGGTATGTGCTCTACTGGGTTTCCCTCTAGTTTTCTTAATGTTTCAGTTTTCTGCAGACAATACCATAGCAAAAATCTGAAACATATGGTAGTTTAAGGACCAAAAATGTCTTCAGGAAGTTTATTCAACTCACTTCACACTGGCCGTCTATACAAATATCATTGGTGTTATTCAACTCACCTCACACTGGCCATCTATACAAATATCACTGGTGTTATTCAACTCACCTCATACTGGTCGTCTATACATATATCATTTGTGTTATTTAACTCACGTCCCACTGGCCGTCTATACAAATATCATTGGTATTCTTCAACTCACCTCACACTGGCCGTCTATACAAATATCACTGGTGTTATTCAACTCACCTCATACTGGTCGTCTATACTTATATCATTTGTGTTATTTAACTCACCTCACACTGGCTGTCTATACAAATATCACTGCTGTTATTCAACTAACCTCACACTGTCCGTCTATACAAATATCACTAGTATTATTGAACTCACCTCACACTGGCCGTCTATACAAATATCATTGGTATTATTCAACTCGCCTCACACTGGCCGTCTATACAAATATCACTGGTGTTATTCAACTCACCTCACACTGACCGTCTATACAAATATCACTGGTGCTATTCAACTCACCTCACACTGGCCGTCTATACAAATATCACTGGTATTATTCAACTCACCTCACACTGGCCGTCTATACAAATATCATTGGTGTCGGGGAAGCAACGAGTTCCGTCGATAACTTTCAGTGCTTTCTGTGAGTAGAATTTATAACCAATAGCTTGACAATAGAGTGAGCAAGGATTCAATTGACCTAACAGAAAATACAGTTCAATTAGTCAACAAATGTTATTTATAATAAATTTTCTTCGAGCTTTTCCCGTTCATTCTACATTGTCGTTTTTAAGTTCTTGCCCAATAAAGTCTAAAATTTATCGTCTCGATTATCATTTTGGTAATTAATTCAATACTCTACATCATTAGAGTTGGGGCTAACCTATTTTTACAATCTCAATACATATTACAGTATTATAGAAAAGGCTGAGGCTGACGCACTATCACAATTGATGATTTTATATCAGAATAGAAACTAACTCAACGTCATGTTATAAATATAGTAGTTGCAAAATTGCGAAACAATTAGATCGAGAGTGGTAACTAATCAAGTTTCCCAAACTCGATCGTACAGTGTAAAAGTAATGGTTAAACTGATTCAAATTTCCACCATTACAATACAATTAAGTAGCTAACCCTACTTCAAAGCCTCAGTATTATACTAGCATACTAATAATTGAACGAACTTCACGATATTAATTCTACAATCTCAGAGTCTAATATATCTTCATGGAGACAATGTAGCAAGTGAGAACACAAGACTCTGGAACGGCCCATTATATAGAATTGGCTATAATGGACGTAAAAATTACCAATTTTCATTATTCTTTACTTAAGTAAAATATCTAATCCGAAATAGTTGTTTGATTATTTTTTTCTTGAGAAATGTTAAGACAAAATTATTATTTGTTTAATTTCTATCTCTAGCTTCCTGTGTACATACGTATATACCAAGATGGAGTACATTATATTAAAACGATTTTGGAGTCTCACCACGTCCTTATAATCCATATTGCCATGTCTACTGATGCCCAATCTGACAACCGTGCACCTTGACAATACCCTGAAGGGTAATTTATATAATGGAAAAAACTGTGTCAAAAAGCTGTCATGTCCAAAACACATCCCTATACCCTGTTGGCTCTCATTAATCAATACAGTGTACGAAGACGATAGTTTCCTACATTCTTGACAACAGTCCAATCGCATAGAAATCTATAAACGCTAAAATTGGCAACTTGACTATGTTTTCATGTGGAATCGCATGAATACCTGTTAAATATTCCAGTTCTTTGAGGTATGCAACATTTGAATGGATATGTCGTGGAAGCAGCTTGTATGCACGTGACTTGTGTCGCTTTTCCAGATGGAGATCTTTTTTACTTATGTTAAATGATGTTGTCTAGGGAACGTTGACGGCTTTTGCCACTAACCTTTATGTTCATAGGATCTCGCCTGTTACAAGTCGTATACTTTACTTACCACAGTTGGGATACCATTTGTTGAAGATCTTTTTTTTTTTTGATACCTCTGATGCACTCATTTGATCCATATTCCTTTGTTTTCCAAGGTTATTAAGTGCAATGGACAGCTTCGTCTTGAAAATTCTCAAACCTCGATTTTTAATGATCCGAGCGTACGAATATTTTGCATTGGAAATCGCTGTTACATACCCTTCACAAAAGCTACCACTTTTCGGTGGCATCACTCTTTCCACGAACGACAATCAATGTCACATTGTAGTTCTGATAAATCTCGTTCAAACAGTGTCAAAATGTGGTTCTGATACATTACATTCCACTGCAACATTATATCAACAGTGGTTGTCTCGTAACTTGCTGATTTCCTTATTCAAACTCGTTTTAATATAATATACTCACCCATATGCATCACTAAAATGGTGGCAACTATGCTTTTTGTCTTTCGGCTATAACACAGAGGGCTCACACCACTAAAAACCTGGTTTCGATACTCGTGGTGGTACAGCACAGATAGCCTATTGCGTAGACTTGTGCTTAACAACAAATAAATAAACCTTGTCAAAAAGACTATGAAAATTAGACAATTGTGAATGAAGAGACCAACTTGCCATTTGTAAATGGAATCCAGTCATAAAACTTCCCACGAAATTCGACGACATTGAATTCTGAACACTGAATTGCTCGAAAGTCCTCAGAATTAGAAGGGCAATCCTTTCAAAAGAAGATGTATACATATATATATATATATATATATATATAATTTAGTCTTTGATAATTCAAAAAATTAAAAATATGTTTATTTTTAAACAAGAAAGATATTGTGAAGATAAAATACCACAGTTTATACAATACAGTTGTTGATTATAATTGATCACTGTGTTATTCGTTTTAGTTTCATTAGGACCTGTTAAGTTAACAATTTTGAATTTTCAGCCCAGTCACCAAATAAGATGTTAAACGCCATTTTAATGTACTTTTAAATATGTTTTTTGCTACCATATTCTAGCTGAGCTGAAAGTTCTGCTATTGAATAAAGGTCTTTTGGACAATGACTTATTATAGTCAAATGATAAATGTGGAATGTTATTTTTACACATCTGTAATTCGAAACTTAATGAACTAATTAAAAAAGAATTATTCAATTGAGTGTAATATTTACTTGCTCTTATACACCTTCAGAGTGGTGGAGAGAATTTTCCTACAAGATTAATATGTGTAGTGTTGGCCAGCTACTGAGTTTCGTTTAGGGTAACTGGGCGGTCATGCTGAACTTTACTTATGGGCGGGCCTACCCCTTGACTTGACCGTAAGATAATTGCATGCCGTTAAGATGATTCATTTATTCAGCCATATTGCATGTCTTCTAGTAGAACAAGTTCGGGTGTGTTTTCTGATGCAATCTATTTCATCATTGCTGATCAATTCGATTTTAGGTTTACCCCAATACTATAGCATCACTATGATCAATCAATTGCCAGTGGCAGAATATAAATGGACCACCCTTCTTTTTCTTTTAAAATTGGCTATATTGAATTTTCTTCATTTATTTTTGGAGTGGATCCTTAAATATATCACCGAACTGGATATTCAAATATACCTCCCTACCCCGTGATTAGACCCCAGTATACGATACCTATTTTTGCAGGCTTAGGAATTTAAGCACGCTTACCATCATTGTTACTGTTTGTTCCTTTGCCAAAAACAAAATTGTGTATCAAATGCGTATTGTGACTCGCTGTGTATTCTCGGGCTTGACATCTGAAGATTTGTGCACTTAAATAATATTTTTCTGTCAAAACCATGATCATCAGTGTCCTTGTAAACACATACCAGAGGCAAAATCTAGGCCAGGATCATTTTCTTCTGCTGAAAAAGACTCCCTAGCTTAATCATTATGAATACTGCGTGTTCTTTAAATAGTGCTCTCGCTGGTCTAATTGTTTATTGACTTTGAACATGAATTGTACAACCG